ACACATCTGAATATTTGGGTTGAACTGTTCTGGAACAGTGTTGTAAATACAACTTAACCACTGATTTCTAGTCGTGTTTATTTTTGGAAGGCCAAACAAAGTAGTTTTGCTTTCACAACGAAACACACGGCGGGCTAGAGTGAGCGGAGGCCGGCGGCTAGAGCGAGCAGAGGCAGGGTGCTAGAGTGAGGAACGGCCGGGGGCTTGAGAATGGCGCGGCCAGCGGATTCGACGGAGGAGCGTCCGGTGGGCTTACGGCAACCACATGTGACGACCCCGGGCTGGACTCCGCTTCGTCCACGTGAAAGCCGATCCGGCGATCCACAGCGCGAAGTTGATGTATTTCCTCAGCAACCAGCACGGATCAGCTCCAGGCATGACGAAACGGATATCGTCCTCTTTTGGAAGGCCAAACAAAGTAGTTTCGCTTTCACAATGAAACACACAGCGCCTTCACGACATGGCGGCAGCAACAATACTACAGCAAGAATAAAAGTTACGCCTTCTTTCTTTGTGTGAACATTTGGGCGGCGTTATGCAAATCTTCCCACATCGTGACGTAGATATGTGGGGGTGTGTTAGAACGAGCCGTTTTAGGTAGGTGTGGTTGACTCTTAACTTTTATAAAGAATATCTCTTTGGATTTGAGACTTTAGTCTTTGCAACTTTACATATCATCTTTATGCACCAAGAGCTTGTAACACTTCAAAGAGAAAGGAAAAATTTAAATCGCATCATATGACCCCTTTGATTGAATAGTTACTAAATATTGAATAGCCATTTATATGTAAACAGGCATGCGTATTTATTTAATTAAATTGCAGTCATTGCGATTTGATAATAGCACTAAGCCATAGTATGATTTTGGTTTTATTTCAATTCATTGTTCAGCCCTATTAGGGCATCATAAGCATGAAAGTTCCCAAATGACTCAATTTTGCAGTTTGTGTTTCTTAAATGGTCAGAGTGAGCTGACTGGGAAGGGAGCCTTTATGCTGTTAATGTTATAGTACATTCATATTTCAAAAGAGCAAGTAGAATCCTGTTTTTTGCTTCATTAACTTTAGTCTGAATCTCATTATTCCCACAAATGCAACAAAAAAGCCTGTTGTCTAGTTGTTAAAATGCTCTTCTCTCTGATTGACTCCAACAGCTTCAGCACTTGGTCAGTGATGAAGTGTGTCTGCAAGTCACTGAGCTGTACCTGGCCGAGAGGAAGAGGGGTGCCGCTGGTGGCAATCTCTCGTCCCAGTGTGTCCGTGCCGCTTGGGAGGCCAGCTACCAATGGAAGGCTGAGAGAGTCATGGCTGAGGAAAACTGCTTCAAGGTGCTTGACCTAATGCTGTCCCTATATATGACTGAAATTTATGTGGAAATCAAATTTCAGATGTGATATTCACCTCCTCAGTTGCATTAATCATATGAATTGTCATGCTTGTTTTATAATAACCTTGTTTAGTTTGTAATTTCTTGGCTATATCCCTTGTCAGGTCATGTTAATTCAAAACAAAGGTCAGGTGACCTTAATGATGGAGTTGCTGGACACGGAGGAGGCCCAAGGCGATGACCCACTGGATATTCAGGTACCTCCGCACAAAGTTCTGTATTTTTACAACAGAAAATACTTCTGAAACATGAGTTGTTTTTTTCCTAGAAAACTTTAACCACTGACTTTAAGTGTCAAATGTAATAGGGTAATCTGGTTTGGTGAGGCAGGAGAGTAATCTTGTTTTCTAGTCCATTAATATTTGCTATGTCTTGTTTCAGAGCCTGTCGCATTATATGGAGCAGTATATAGGAACTGAGTCTGTGTGCTCTCAGACAGAAGGGTACTACTTTAAGCCTGTGTTTCTACCCAGGTAAAAAAAACATCTTTACACAGGTTTAACCTGTTCGGTTTATAACTATTCTTTCTTTTTTGTAGCCATACAGTTAATTGTTCCTATATATATATATTTTTTTTAAAATTATATTACTATTTTATTTCATGTAATTTCATTTCATTTTATGAGTTGGCCCACATCATGGTGTTGACATACCCAATAATCCTTGCTTTCTCTCAGCAACTCCCCCATTATTTTTAAACCCACCCTATATTCTCAAACACTGTTTCTGGAATAAATTAATCATGTATAAATCAGACTGATTGTCTCAATATAAGGTCATAGGCCAACTTGTGACATTAAAAATGATTTTGTGCAAATTTAATAACTGCTGAATTAAGTCTGGCCAGGTGAGACTAGATTGACGTTTGTTCTGCACCTCTGTGCGTCTCACCTTTAGGAATTTGAGGCATTTCCGTGGCTGGCAGCTCAAGCAGGTGGAAGCCATGCGCTGCCGGAGAGAGTGGCATCGGAAGATGGGTGTGGAGACAGCTGGGAACCTAGACTGCCGTTTCAAACTCAACACGCACAAGATGGTGTTTGTGATGAACTCCGAAGACTACATGTACCGCCGAGGGGCCCTGGTGAAGGCTCGGAGGGTATGTTGATAAAATACATATGTTAATACAACAACATTTCTATAGTCAATATACATTTTTTTTATTCTAGTATTTCATCTGAAAACATAGCATTTTGTGAGTGCGAAGACAAACAGACTAATTTTATAACTGTTAAATTCAAATAATAAATGATGCTAACCATATACTCATGCATGGTTAAGATTGTGAAGTGAATAAACTTATTAACCTTTAAAAGAGAGGAGAAAATGCTTCCCATATCTTGCTGTATTCCCATATACACTACCATTCAAAACTTTGTGGTCAGTAGGACATTTTCTAGAGCCATTACTCCAGTCTTCAGTGACTGAATACTTCAGAAATCATTCTAATATGCTGATTTGATGCTTAATAAACATTTCTTATTATCAATCTCTTCCCCTGTAGTCCCAGCACAGAGTAGCACAGGCCCAGCACGAGCACTTTGAGCAGTGGCACCGGGGCTGGTTGAGCGAGCACGTGTCCCCCGCCGCCGAACGCAGCGTGCAGGACTGGCTCATGGGAGAAGAGGATGAGGACATGATCCCCTGCAAGACCACCTGCCTGTCCATGCAGATCAAAGGCTTACATGTCAACAGGTACCAGGTGCACTACAACAGCAAGGCCCCCGCCTCACCGTAACAACCTCAAGCCTTGGGATGGATTTCTGTGATCTCTCTCTCTCTCTGTTTTCTCTCTTTGTCTCTTTCTCGCTCACTCTTTCAAATGTCCAAGCTTAAAGATGCTTGGCTGAAACACAGCGAACAGACAGGAGTGGTTTGAGGACAGACAGCTGCTCAAAAGAGGGAGTGCATCATTGAAAAGCATCACATCTCGACACTAGTGTCCATCATGATCGATGCAGTTACCAGACGTTTCAGAAATGTGAATGTCAAACTTTTTTTTTTTTTAAGAAAGTCCATTGTAGTTTTTAGCTCCTGAAAACAGAGTTTTGTTTTGTTTATACTGAAGTATTGAGAGACTAGGTTTAATGTATGTCTACAACGTCTGTATGTCTTTTTGTACAGTAAATTCAATTCAAGAGCTCGAGCAATTGCATATATACAGCAGAAAGATTATTCTGTGTGCATTTTCTTGGCTATGAATGATGACTTGGAAAAATTATGTTTCTCTGGCGCACTGGCATCTTATCCGTAACGTCCTTGTTTTAGTTTTCTGTTTAGTGTTCTTTGTTTTCATTGTCTCTTAACTGAACAGAGGATCGCCAGTGTTGTCCGTCAATCACTGCTCATAATTTTGTTAAACATCCAGATCATGTATCATATCGATCTCGCCAAATCCTTGCTTTTGTTTGGTGTAATTTTTACATATTAAAACAGAAAAAAGACAAAATATAAGTGTTTTGAAAAAAAGAATGTATAACATTTATCCTGTATCAGTTATCACAAAATAAACAACCTAGTTGTGCCGTTCTTAAAGAAGGGGGTCATGATTCTTGCTGAATTCTCACCTTTTCATCAGAAGATTGTACATTTGGAAAAGCAACTTATCCAATCCTATTATTTATTTGATGTCACTATTTAATATTAATCTATCTGTGGATACCATGGTGGGAAAACCAGCTTTTTTAAATACACATTTGGACAGACAGATGATTTTCTGTGAAATGTCATTCAAAGAAAGTTGAACAAAGTATCTGGGTAATTTTTTACCCCACATTGACATCTATTTTTTTATGACATTTAAGCACATTTCCTTAAGAGTCTTTTTACATTTACTTTACACTTTTTTTTTTATTTTTTATTGAAACCAGTACAACAAATACTAGCATGTTTTTTTTTTTTTTTTGGTAAAGGTGTGGTAACGTGTTAAACTCTCATGAAAATGTCAAAATGCAATATATTTGAATGGTCCTCAATAAGCTTCATTTTATCTATGGTTTACAATGTCTGATTTTTTTTTCTGTTGATTTTGGGCAGAAATATCTTCACTGGTTTCATGATATTCACCCAGAAAGTTTTTTTATATATATTATATTATATTTTATTTACTTGCTTACACAGATGTTCAGACTGAGAGCTCAGAAGTTGCAAAATGGCTTTTGCAGCTTATGTAAATTTTTTTTTTTTCCTTTTCTATTTTTATAGGAGTTATTTACTTGTCTTCACAGGGCCGAATGGATGCTTCCTCTTTCATAGCTTATAAATAGACCTAGACAAGGGCTGATTTGGCTCTTATGGACCACTTTTGTTTGTTCTAAAATCTCAAGCAAGTTTAACATGACTTGGCCCAAGCAAGAGTATGCGAAAACACTTCATTGATCTCAAAATGTACTTTTATATACCCGTTCTTTGTTTTGATGCCTTCTATTTTGAGTTCAAATCAAAATGTTTGATGAACTTTATTCCTTTTTGATTGAGTTGGCCCAGCAGGGGGTGTTATTTGCCTGTTGGAGGATGCACACATTTGCTGTGGGTGTGGGTGGCCTTGAACGACTGAGCAAGAGAAGGCAGTGAAAAAAGTAAAAACGGAGAGTAAAATTGCTGCAGTCATGGACTTGCGCTCAGAACTGCTCAAGTCCATTTGGTACGCTTTCACTGCTCTAGATGTGGAGAAGAGTGGAAAGGTGTCCAAGTCTCAACTCAAGGTGAGCTGCAAATCCATTAATGCACTGATAAAACTTTTGGATGTTGGAGGCTGAAAATTGGGGTACCGTATGGCTCTCAATTCTCAAGGTCTTAAAATGCTTTAACATATTCCTCGATGTAAAGAACAGAAAGAAGGATCAGTGCTCAACTCATTACATGAGTTATTTATTTTTTCCTTATGTTATGATTAAAAGATCCCATGCACTTACTTTAACTGTTTGCGATGCGTTTCCTGTGTGAGCAAATTATGCCACATGGTCTATAGTGAACTTACTGAATATCTGGGTCACAGGTTTTCTTTTACCATTGCCCATTTATAAGACTGAAGAAACCTGTTCACTCATAGACTCACATTATTTTAATGGGAATTCTCATTTTCTTTCTTTCTTTTTTTCCCTGCATATAAAAAGATTAAGTTATGTCTGAACTTATGCTCTGAGTTGCAGTTTCGTTTTTTTTGAGTTATTTATTTTTTCCTTATGTTATGATTAAAAGATCCCATGCACTTACTTTAACTGTTTGCGATGCGTTTCCTGTGTGAGCAAATTATGCCACATGGTCTATAGTGAACTTACTGAATATCTGGGTCACAGGTTTTCTTTTACCATTGCCCATTTATAAGACTGAAGAAACCTGTTCACTCATAGACTCACATTATTTTAATGGGAATTCTCATTTTCTTTCTTTCTTTTTTTCCCTGCATATAAAAAGATTAAGTTATGTCTGAACTTATGCTCTGAGTTGCAGTCTCGTTTTTTTTTTTTTTTTTTAGTTTTGCAGAATTGTTTATTCATAAAGCACATTATATTACAATAGACCGTGTTCTGTTTGTTCAGGCTCATTTGTATTAATATGTACAGATTGTTGCTTAAGTTCAGTCCCATGATAAGGTTTAGTTCAGTCCATATCTCAAGCTGTCCAGCTGTAACAGGGCATCTCTGTCTCTGGAGCTTTTGGGGTCTGAAGCTGTAAATGGGTTCAAACTGTTCAACTTTGAATCTTCAGCTTTGAGAACGGTGGTCACCGGATGTGTGTAGTGAGATCACACTCTTTGTACTTTGTAACATGGTTCAATCTACTCATCTAGTCCACACTCAGCTCTGTCGTTTTCAAAGAAACATTTAGAGAAGTTCCTGAGCAAAGTTAGAGAAGTAATGCAATGTAGCCCTGCTGTTACTGTTGTGTGAGTCTATCTGCAAATTATTTTTCAAAATCTTGTCTGGTGTTACTGGCTCTAGTTGTTCTTATTAATGCTTTTAAATATTTTTAAGTAAATATGACTTTTGATCCCATTATTGTGGGTTAACTAAAACCTCTGTGTGAGCAGAGAATGCTGAAAGTAATGTGTATAAATAGAGCAGACCTAACTTTTTCACTCACCAGCCAATTTGGCTAATAAATTAAGTTTAAGCCATTCATAACTTCTACTAGCCCAAAAAAAAAAAAAAAAAAAAGACAGAAATAAACCAACAGTTTGAGGCTGTCTACACTGGGTGTGACAAAGTGACCATTGCAAATCATATTGTGTCAGTACTAGGGTTGTGCCCTATTGACAAAAAATAATATCAATATTTTCTGGGATTTTATCGATAAAGATAATTAGACGATATTTTGCTGAGTGTGTTATTGTGCTGATATCTTAAGGACTACCGTGGACAGCTGACTCCTAAAGTTTTTGATATTCTTCATATTCTGTGTGGTCAGTTCACAGCAGTGATAGAAATTAATATTTTCCAATACGTTTAAATTGAGTTTTACCTTTCATGGGCATTTTTACCTTTTATAAAGCAAATTTTTTTCTAAAAGTGTGCATCTTTTGAGTCAAATTCTTACATGTAATCAGTCAATTATAATAATAATAATAATAATACATTTAGGCTGTTACTAAACAAATTAAATCAGTATCAATAAAATTA